AAGTTGATCCGGAATATCACCCAAAAATTATTGGCCGAAAAGGAGCTGTGATCAGTAAAATACGTAGTGATCACGATGTCCAAATTAACTTCCCGCGCAAAGGTGATCCTGAGGAACATATTATTACAATAACAGGATACGAAAAGAATGCATACAGTGCGCGAGATGATATCATGAAAATTGTTAATGAATTGGTGAGTTTTTTTATTATGACAAATATTTTTCTGTCTTTAAGGAATACGTTTTTCTATCGCAATTTTTTTATAACAAAGTAATTTATTTTTCTATTTTCTATTTATATTTTTATTTTTCAAGAAACGATAAGCAATGTTTTATTAAACATTGCTTATCGTTTTTTTGAAATACTTTAGTATAGAAATACTTTAACAATGTTATAATAATCTTTAATGTAATTAAAATATCATTTATTATTTTTTTTTCCTTGTTCATTTTAGAATGGTTTGACGAAGGAAGAAGTGCAGATAAATGCCGCTGTTCATTCACGTTTGATCGGTGCAAAAGGTCGAAATATTCGTAAAATAATGGATGAATTTAAAGTTGATATCAAGTTTCCAAGGAAAACCGATGCTGATCCCAATATCGTAACAATCGTGGGAGCGGAAGAAAACGTTACCGATGCAAAGGAACGTTTATTGAATCTAGAGGAAGAATACGTAAGTAACGTCAGTTAACAATTATGTAAGTAGAAATCAGTTTATAACTATACATTACAAAAAATATATAATGGCAGATGCAAGACGTGATAGAGAACGAATATCGTGAAAGTTTGCGATCACCTCAACGCGACGATGGTAGTAACGTCGGTGGCAGTGAGAATGATACTGGCTTCATCGTGAAAGGAGGACCATGGGAACAGCAGCAACAGCAGCCTCAGAGTGCGCCGAACACGGCCAGCGTAGAAGAATTCCCGCAATTCGCTGGTTATTCTCATGTACCCGTTGCAACCCCGGACGGCCCTTGGGGAATTAAGCGTTAAGATATAAACCGAAATTCACTAACAAAAAAAGAAACGATTGATTGGAACCTAATAAGCTAATGATATAAGGTAACTTTCCTCTGACAAACAGTATGTAAAACACATAAGTATACGCATGTACATGTACACATACACGACATTATACATCATACACGCAAATGCACTTGTGTTGGGTGGTTCCCTATTCCATTACTGACGTTGCTGCATACGACCTGGCCATTCTATTGGACTTTGACACTGGTTTACTACACACAACGTTCGACGACGATGTTTATATTTACAATTCATAATACCGATGTCCTATGTATCTGTAACTGTAATGCATGTTGTCCTGAGTCTGTCGCCATATCACTCGGTCCAGTTGGGCGTACACATGTACGCTGTGTCGTGCACGACTTAATCTCGTGGCTTTTATTTTTAATGATATGCTTTCCAGGTACAGATATGTTGTACTTAAGACTGTGGCTTCGTGGGAAATAATCGGGTCAGCAGTCTGCAGAAAAGAGCTGAATCTACAAAAATTGTAAAGTAGAGTTATTCTGTAGTTTTCTTACTCTACAGAAATGTAAATTGTTTATGAACTCTTTACATTCATATTCTACGATAGGGAACAAGTTTTTGTGCAGATTAATCCTTTTCTGCAGAAACTGATCGATTTATTCGTGTATTATATTATTTTCACAGATAATCTTTGTACCACGTATAGGCTGCAAACAGTCGTACGTTTTTCGTTGATCTTAGCATAATAATTTGTTAATTTATTTATATCTTTTTTGTACATATATCACATTTTCTCGTTGTTTTGTGCCACTTAAGTGAAGTGGTTTCTAAACTACATCACGATTGTTGAAATTTATATTGTAAAATTTTCATGAATCAAAAAAAAACAGGGGCTTTCTAAGGAAAAGGTTGTTTCTTACACAATTTTTTATATTATAATAATTAGATATAAACGCGATTTGAGTCACCATAATTTCAATGCATAAATCAGAAATTTGTTGATGCATTGATCGCATACACTTATCAATAATTGTAAGATCCAAGTAATAGATTTGTAATCGGAGATTACAGAAAACCCCGATAATCTCCGATAAAATAAAATTTTAGATGCTCTATAGAGGCAGGAAAATGTGTTTTATGCCATTTGTTTCCAATAAATAGAAATCATTTCCTTGTAACATCGAAATATGAATTATGCTATTTTTAATCAATTATAAGCAATCAATCTTGCATGTTTAAGGAACACAGGATATTTAGAAGACCTCGATTCCGCGCCACTTATTCATTAAGATATACATGAAATCGGCACTCTGCAGAGAATGGTCAAATTAAATCTCGATGTTATGAATAGTGAACGATACACGAATTCCTTTCGATAGCCGGCTTTATTTATTTGTTCTACTTTACCGTTTCGTATACCGTTTGATGTGCAAGTCTTTGCATTCTACTATTATGAGGCCAACTAGCTAAGAAAAGGATATTCAGTTCAAGTGCCTTGTCTATTTTCTTCGAGACAGCTCATTTCAATTGTTGGAGGAATGTGAATAATAGATTATACATAAATAAAAAATACAATATATACATATATTGTATTTATCCAGGGTATCTGAAAATCACTGGATGATATTCTTGGAGTAGATTCATTCCCGAATTCATTATTACATGTAGCAACTAATATCGAATTAAGATCTTTTTAATACATTTTACACTTTTCAAGTTTATGACAAGATGTTTTCAATGGCACGTAATTTTCAAATTAATATTTTGATATTTTTGGCAAAACAAAATATTAAATATGTTTTATCTGTCTCTAAAGTATCACCTGGTGATTCTAGGACAGCCTGTATATATACACATCACATGTAAACACATATATGGATATTGATAATAATTATTCTATATGATATGTAATATGTAATAGAAGAGAGAAAGAGGTAATAGGTACCAATATCGATACAATGATACACTATTATGTGAATGAAATAATAGGATTATCATGTATACAGAAAAATTCACTTATATTTTTTAGATTTACAGTAATTTTTATAAATCTACTTGGTACGGCGACCTATGTGTCATCTCCAATGCATGGTAAATGTAAGCGAAAGCCAGAATTAGTAAATTTTAATATGCTTAGTTTTGGCTAAGAATTTCATAGATGCTGTGCATGAATATAATTTTCTAATGAGTTATAATAAAATATATTGTAATTACATGAAACAATATTCTCTGTACACATAAGTAAATAATGTTATAACACATGGATTATATTGTAATAATATACTACATTCATTGATCTATTTATTCATTTCTCAGGTATCTTTTTTCTGTCCTTCCGATCTTAGTTCTAAATAAATCACAAATATGCACGTATGCATATGTACATATATACAATTGTTCCTACAATTATAAAATAGATGCCAGAGAATTAAAGGGATTAATAAATATTTTCTTGATACACTACAATAAGTACTCTACAGTACAATAAGTAAATTGTCACTTTTTAATTAAATTATATTATGCTTTATCAACAAACTTTGTATTTTCAATACTACGTAATTGTTTTACAAATCCATCATTAGGCCTAATACAACTTCTGGCTCTTTTAACTTTATCATAAGCTTCGTCATATGATAGTTTCATGATAATCATTAAATAAGCAATAACAATAGTGGGAGAACGAGAAACACCAGCGTTACAATGCACAAGAATATTTTCTTTATGATTTGCATGTATAATATCAATGCATTTCTTTGCTGATGGTATAATATTCGATTCTGGCAAGTCTAACAAGTCACAGGTGTAATAATGAATGTCATCATATTTTTCAAAAATGTTAACACCTATGCTCAAAACATGTTGTATTTTGTATTTTTTTAATAGATCATTACAAACTACTGGATCTTGAGAGCTGAGATATAATCCTGGTATTATATTGGCGATTTGCAAATCAGGTTTTTCGTCTATTATAAATGGTAGACTTTTTTCTAGTTTTTTCACTTGACCACATTCAACTTCATATTTATTGCCAAGTGGATCTGTTATTATAGTTTTACACGATTTTAATGATGATCTCTTTTTTGCAATAAGATTTTGTAAATCCATTATGCAAAAATATTTATTCTTTAAAGGTTTATGCCAAATGTCACGATAAACATAAAATATTTTATTAAAAGAAAATATAAATTCACCTTATCTGTACACGCGGTAAAATAGATTCTATTTCATAAATATTTAACAAAAAATTTTTTGACTATTGAGATTATAATTTTTTAATCGCTTATTTTCTTTCTTTTATTCTTTTATTTATAATTCTTGTTTCTGCTCTTTTAATTGCATCTCTGGACTGTATCTTTCGATTGCGGTTCTTCCTCTTCTGGTATGGTGCAACGTTTTAATTCATCCAGATCATATTCTATATTTAATAGATGCAAGCCATGCGATGGTACAGGTATAACACGGGGATGCAAGTTTTGATGAGAAGGAACTTGTAACATTATAGTAATATCTTTCTCTGTTATATGTCCCATACCTAAAGCGATTAGAGCACCGACCATTCGTCTGACCTGCACAAATTAGTATTTGTAATTTTTATACATATAAGTTGTATCATTTATGAATAAATTTTACCTGTTTATACAGAAAAGATTTTCCTTTGCAAATGAAATGCCAATATGTAAAATTTTGAGACAGTGGATCAAAAGGCATTAAAGGTTGTGCTTCTTCGAGAGTAAAAGACTGTAAGGAACGTACGTACTCGATTTTACGATCTGTTACTGACTTAGCGCTAAACGTAGTAAAATCTTTTTTCCCTATAAATAATTGTGTACCACGTCTTGCTCTGTCTATATTGAAATTATGTGACCTAACAGGATATATATTATTATAATAAGATAAAATATGTCAGTTTTTCACTTTGCAATTACCTTAGGTGGAAAGTATGTATTGATTCTGGAAGAGATACTCGATGTTCCTCTTCTACTTTAGGTATCATAAATCTGTACAAATAAGTTCGAGATTTACATGAAGCTCTTGAGTGAAAGTCATATGTAACAGGTGTACAGTCCAGTAATCTGCAAAAAACATACTTTCGATAAAAGTATTTAATAACAGACATTAGAATAAATATATTAATAACTTAGGATAAATACTTTAAAGAATTACCTAATGTAATGATTGCAGTTGAAGAAGTAACGATTAACTTTTTGTTTTATATCTGATGCTTTATATATCGTACTATATTTGTTTTCAAGCTCTACATGAGCACTGTTGCCAAAAGCATGAACTCCAGCATCCGTTCTACAAAAATATATATTTTATATCATAAGAGATTGATAAAATAATTTCATAATCAATATGTAATAAAATCAATATAATAATCATTAAATATATAAGATAATATTTCCTTTTGGTGATACATTACTAATTGTTTATGAGTATCGTTATAGATTGCACAGATTATACAGATATAACATATAAAAATTTACCTGCTAGAAAGACACAAGGATGGCCTAATTACACTTCTTGGTACAATGGTTAATAGAGCAGCTTCTAGAGCACCTTGAATGGAATCCGTATCCCGTATAAAGTTTTCGGAAGGTTGCCTCTGCAAACCCCTTTATAAAAATGATAACGTATATCACACAATAAAAATAAAGAAAGATATTACATAGATTCGATATAAAATGATGAAATATGATAAATGTCCTGCCCAAAGTTATACGTTTTTATCAAAATATAAATATTACATGTTATACCTGTAGTGTGTACCAATGTACGAAAATTTAAGCAAATATCGTACCATAATTCTGCCTACTATGAAAGCAAGCACAAAACCTTATCACGCACTAGTAGTAGAAAATTGTGTGAAATGCACTATTTTTTAGCAGTAATCATTCAATAATTGTACCCTCGCTTTGCAGATGTAACTAATTTATAATGAAATAAATTTCAATTTCTTATAAAATAACTTCCCCTTGACGTTTTATTAATGACTTGATTACTGTCAATTATCATACACATGTAAATTAAGTGAACTTTATTCAAACAGAAGTATCGGTAACAGTTTCACACTCGCCATGTGCGTTCCACAAAAGTTTGTTCTTTTCAGCTGGACTTCTTGCACGGTTACCTTTTTTCTTTTTCTTTCGAGTGTTAGTGAGAAAAAGAGAAAAAATGAACCGTGCAAGAAGTTCATCTACAAGGAGTAAACCTATAATAGCACTTTCTTTTATTTAATTGCACTTTCTACACTTGTTTACAACTTTTTACCTAAAAATCTAACGTATAGTCTCGTTTTATGACGATTATTTATTGATATCGTTTAATTTTTAAATTCATGGAACATAAAAAAATAATTTTTTATAATTTAACAAATGGAAGATAAAACGATATGCATAAAACGATATGAAATGTAATTAAGATTAATGTAATTAAGAAATATTTCTTAATTACATTTCGATTAGAGCACGCTTCTACTTATCTATTTAGATAATTTTTGATTCAAGTTGTAAACTGATTGCTAAATTTCTTGTATTATTTTTAAATTAGATTAGATAAATCTTTAAGTTTTGTGAATATCAGAAAATGTATGTAAAATATTGTCAGGATGTATAAGAATTTTCATTTTCGTTTATTAATTCTGCTCATATTATCAATTCTACAATTAATTCATATTATTAATACCACTTATTTATTTTCAATGGATACGCTATATGTCAACAATAGCAACCGAGAAACGTTGGAGACGCTCGAACGTATGGCGCATCGAGGGCGAGAGAAAACGATAGGATCTCTATCTCCTTCTCGCAGTGCGTCGAGCACGAGAGAGTACGATAGTATCTCTATTCTCCTCGCGTAGCGCTTCGAGCGCGAGAGAGTAGAATAATATTCCTATTCTCTTCTACCGTCTGAAGGTAGTCGAAATGTCGAGCGCACATGGACGTGGCTTGTGTTCTACGTGCCTGCTCGTGTTGCGCCCCACCACTGCCTCATTACCGATTCTGGCTGCGTTCCGATATTCACTGCCAGTACATAAAACTTATAATATATGTGACATGAACTATATGTTTTCAGTACTGACAGTGAATATCGGAACGCAGCCGCAGAGTGCCGTTTCTGACATCATTGCGTGTAGCTAAGTGCGGAAAGTGCAAGTAAAATGAATAAACATCGAATTAAAATTGGCGCATGCGCGAAAGACTCGAAACCGAATGACGTTGCAACACTGTTTCGTCATCTAATCCTAATATTTTATTTGTTATACGAGAAATTTTTTTTTGAAAACTCGTTGATTGGTTAACAAAATAGAGAATTTCTGGAGACTCGAAAACTTCACTACTCTATAGCCAATCAACACGTTTAATAAAAAATTAGTCATACAATATCATGAAATGTTAGCCTAACGGTACTTTTCACGGGTCTAGATCCTTCCTATTATCCAAATCGCACCGTCCCTTCCTTTCATATAACATGTAGTATGTATACGTCACTTTCTTTAGCGTATCCCCCCTTCCATCTGTGAGCCACGAATGATTCGAGAAGAAAAGAAGTTCGTTTTTAGCATCATCGGTCCTTTCCTTTTCGTTCCAAATGATTCTGCACTCAACTGTTTCGGATTGCCATTCATCGTCCATCATCCTTACTCGGGCCTCGTCGAATTATTAGTTCAGATTTAAATGAGTAGATTGCATCGCGCGTGCTTGTGGAATGCCCTGTGAAATATACAGAAACGTTTCCGTCTTTATTTTTACTTGATACTTAATAAGAAACTTCCGAGAGAAACGAGTAGCGTTATATATCGCGAAGTGTCTGGGAACATCGCTTTTCCTTAGTGTCACGAGCACAAAGGCTGTGAGAAAATTATGGCTGCGAAAGAAATATCACAAGACACGCGAGGGCTTATACGCAACATGACATACGATATGCAGGACAGGCTAAATTGCCTGAAGGAAAGTGCAGCCGTTGTGAATAAGGTATTTGTCGCTTCTTATTCGAAATCGCAAATGTAAACGTATTGCATTGATGTATTAATTTGTATTAATTTTTTTCAATTCTTTACATTTTTTTTTGTCATGTGGAAAGAAAATCTAATTACAAAATAAAATCATTTATTTTTAGGAGAATTATATTCGATCGATAGTCGACCAGGCACTGGAATTGCTCGATCCTACTCCTAATATCCATACATTGTTTGTACAATTCAATATACGATTCTTTAGGAATGTTTTATCCTCTGTCGAAGTCAAATGGAGTAACAGAATGAAAAGGTAAATTTCCTTTTTTTTCCATGCTTTGAAAATATGAAATATTGTTATTTGTATTACTGTTTCTATAATAATGTTGTTTATATAATGTTGTTTATAGCTGTGCTGGTATTTGTACTTTCCATTCGCGTAATAGAGATTGTGTAATATCACTCAGTGCACCACTTCTTAAACTCAGACCAAGGAAGGATCTTGTAGAAACTTTATTGGTAAATTCTCAATAAATAAATAATGTAATATAATTGTGTGTGTGAAGTTGGCGTCTCATTTCGCGGAAACAAATTATTGAGAGTTCTGACTTCCTTTTGAATAGTTCTAGAATTCCGGATAAATTAAACAAATAGTTCTACTCATTAAAGCAAAAAAATTGGTTCGGATAAAGTGAGACGCCAGGTTCACGCCGCGTTTCACTTTGCCCTAAATAAGTTCCGATGTCCGCCGATGCAAGATTTTGAAAGATTTATAGTTCTACAAGAGTTTTATAAAGAGTTCTGTCAAATTAAAGCAAAAAAATTATTTAAACATAAATACAGAGTAATTATTAATGTAATAAGAGATCGAGCTAAACTACAAACAAACAACTCGGAGTTCTGGCTTAAAAATTATACTTTTCGTATAGTTCTCAACATGCAGAAGCATTTTCTAAAGAGTTCCGGACAAATGCGATAACGTACAATTGTTAAATAAATAAATATCACCCGAGCGTCACTTAGATACATAGGTATGAGACACTAGCCGTTATTTCGGAGTTCTGGCTTAAAAATTATACTTTTCGTATAGTTCTCAATATAAAGAAGCATTTTCTAAAGAGTTCCGGGCAATTATAATAACGTACAATTGTTAAATAAATAAATACCGTTCGAGCGTCACGTACTTAGACACATAGGTATGAGACGCTGGCCGCTATTTCGGAGTTCTGGCTTAAATAATAATCTGGCTTAAATACAAAAAAGTACAAAAACAGAAAAAAATATAAAAAAAACGATATATTAATTAGATTAATAAGATACAGTAATTACCATACATTAATTTTCATATATATAAACATATAAAAAAATATAAAAATATAATGTAAAAAGAAATACGTTATTTGAAAATAATGTGCATCAACATATTTCTATTACGTTTATGTATCCTTTACTTTTAGTTATATGGTAAGAATGAAGAAAAGAAATTTATTTTTAAAATTTATCACATACTTATTTTTTATTTAATTTAGCACATTTTCAACGAGTTAATAACACAAACTAGAAATTTCAAAATACATTAACAACGAAATCACAGACAGGGTTTCAGTTAATTCTCTGTAAAAAGTTCGGGCGATATTTGTTTATTTGTTTAGAAATGATATCATCATAATATATCGTAATGCTCAGAACTCTTTACAAAATGCTTTAATATATTCATAACCTTACGAACAATATATCGGGTTAAATCAAAACTCCGAAATAGCGGCCAGCGTATCATACCTGTGTGTCTAAGTACGTGACGCTCGGGTGATATTTATTTATTTAACAATTGTACGTTATCGCAATTGCCCGGAACTCTTTAGAAAATGCTTCTGCATGTTGAGAACTATACGAAAAGTATAATTTTTAAGTCAGAACTCCGAGTTGTTTGTTTATAGTTTAGCTCGATCTGTTATTACATTAATAATTACTCTGTATTTATGTTTAAATTAATTTTTTTTGCTTTTAACTTTGATTAGTAACTTTTTATAGAACTTCTTGTAGAACTATAAATCTTTCAAAATTCTTGCATCGGCGGACATCGGAACTTATTTAGGACAAAGTGAGACGCGGCGTGAACCTGACGTCTCACTTTGTCCGAACCGTATTTTTTCGCTTT